TATCCGCAGTCTCTGCACGGGATGCAAGCCCTCGCAGTCACAGAACTGTCTGCCTAGAGGATTCTACAAAGTGTGCGCACAGTAAAGGGCCGGGCAAAGCTTCTGACCGCACTCCGGCTGGGGATAACTCAGTACTAATAAAACCGGGGCAAGTCCTCTCAGAGATGCTGAAGATGCTACAGGGGACAAGGTAAGACTGTTAGAGGAGGATCATTTTTTTGTAACCGGATACGGTGTTCAAGCTCAAACTTTTTTTTTTCTTTGTTAGTTTTGCACATGGTAGGAAAGGGCGGAGCTTAAATTGGTTACTACAGGCTGAAGGTTTTTTACATGAATGCGTTCGATCACTCTCTAATCTTCATTTTAGTCTCTCTGCATCAAGGTGACCAACTCTCTGTGTGCCACAGGATTACCCCTGCCCCTCCTTATACTTGTGCCCAATCTCAATTCAGCACTGTGCCCCGGGAGCAGCCAGCTCTCTCTCGCTCCTTACTGGAGAAATTGATAGCACAGGAGCCATTGGCCCCTGCTGGTGTCAGTCAAATTCTACGAAGAGGGGACAGGGCTCAGCCACACTGTCTGTGTCTATAGACGTAGCCACCATGGCCTCCACAAGTGCCCCCCCCTATGAAGCATGAAGCTGCTGCTTTCTATGGGGTACTTGAAGAGATGCAGCTAGGAACACCAGCAGGGATGCCAAAAGAGAGGAATTGGGGCTGCTCTGTGCAAAACAATTACACAGAGCAGGAAAGTATGGCATTATATATGGTATGGTATTTTTTATTATATATATATATATATATATATATATATATATATATATATATATTCATATATATTATATATATATATATATATATATATATATTCATATATATATATATATATATATATATATAAATTTTATTACATATATATATAAATAATATATATAATATATTTTTTTTTATTATATATATATATATAATATATATATATATAATTTTTATTTTTTTTATTTTTTTAAATGTTTGCAGTTTTTGCTGTCACTTTTATTCTTTAAATTGTAGTCCCCATTACAGATTTCCAATTTTTCTGGTCTGTACAGAAAGTATTTTCTCCAATGGACAGGCTGTAACAAAATGTCTTCCTTTCCCAGAGAGAGCTGCGCCCCACATTCCTTGTCCTTCTGTCACAGAGACAGGAAGCGAGGTGAAATCTACCCAGTATGGTCATGGACAATAAAAACGTGATCGTCCTATTTAACTTTCCAAAATCTGTCCACTGTTTGGGTTACATTTTTACATGAGTTGATGTAAACCCAGTCGCTAAAAAAATGTTGAAAGCTTTAACAGGTTACTTTCATTTCTACTTGTTTTTAATGTTGCAGCTTTTAAAGTGGTAGTAACCACTTCCAGTCCGGACACTTTTACCCCCTTCCTGTCCAGGCCAATTTTCAGCTTTCAGTGCTATCACACTTTGAATGACAATTGCGCGGTCATACAACACTGTACCCATATGAATTTTTTAGCATTTTTTTTGAGACAGATGAAGCTTTATTTTGGTCGTAATTATTCACCACTGGGATTTTTATTTTTTTTGCTATGAAAATGTCCAAAAAAATTTTGAAAGTGTTTTTCTTATAAAATTTTGCAAATAAATAATATTTCATCATACATCTTGGCCAAAATTTATTCAGTTATCTTTTTAGTAAATAAAATAACCCAAATTAGTTTATAACCAAAAATTATAATTTTTAAACTTTTTTTTTTACATTTTTATTTTATTTTTTATATTTGTTTTTCTTTAACATACTGTCACTCTAGCAGTACAATGTCACCATGGTGACACTGTACTACTTGGGGGGGGGGGGGGGTCATGATTTTTTTTTTACACTGATTGCTTTTACACCCATAAAGGCTGTAAAAGCAATCATCTCTCCTTCTCTCTGGCTGCATTCTTGCAGCCATTGAGAACTACTGTGTGAGCTGTGATTGGTCACAGCTTGTCAAATGGTACAAGGCTGTTGTGAATGGCCCTGTACCATGTGACCTCTGTGATCATTTACAGATTTCACACGTAGTAAGCAGTGATGTGAGAAGTGACATCTTGCTTACTACTCTGCTTGTGATCACTGATTGGCCAATCAGTGATCACACGATCGGAACCTCGCACAGAGGTCCCGTCAGACGATTGGTGTTCCACTTTGTCCGGAGGACACAGCGGGCACCTGATCGCGGTGCTGCACACTCCCAGGGAGTGCGCACAAGCAGGGTGCGGGTAGGCCATTTATAAACGGCCACCCGACCCTGCACTGCCACCGTCCAGCCGTTTATATACAACAGCTGGACGGGAGGTGGTTAAAGGTTCAGTTTTCTTTTTTTAAATGACAAACACGTCATACTTACCTGCTCTGTGTAATGGTTTTGCACATCTTGCAAAATTGTGTCCCATTGACTTCAGTGCAAAATCGCCTCTATTTAAGTTTTTTAATTTTATATATATTTCATTTTATTTTCTGTCCACTTTTTGTGTTACTTTCAGCAAGTTATTTTATGTTACTGTATTGTATTTTTTGAAATTCATATTCATTTAAATTCATGATATCTCGGTGTGTTGATTTTTGGTGATAGCCAGGAAGGAGACGGGGCATTGAGCCTCCTCCTAGTAGTAGGCAGTGAGTACACATGCTGTAATCTGTCTGTTATGCTACAAAGGAAAGCCCGCAGCACCCTTGGCAAATGGTAAATGTTTACTTGAGAAGGTTGTGAGATTAGCGGGGATGCGGTGACTTGATGATTCTGTTTCTAAAAATGACTCGGCTACATATTGTCCCCAATCCCCCCCCCCCCCGGATCTGGTTGCCAAATGTAAAGTGGAGCTGCTTCTAAAATTAGTAACGCGTCATTCTCTCGTGGTCACTTTCCTACCATCCCAAAATAATTCCATGCATTTAAAGGGAAACTGAGCACTTGAGCAGATGAAATCTACCGCTGCCCGGCATCTCAAGAAATCACCCCTTACTGGATGTGGAAGTGGGACGCCCCATCATTGATCGCTTGTGTAAATTGGCCTAGTGGTCAAGGACCCTGCAGACTTATGCAGGCCATAGACGGTTCGAAAACCGGACTGCTTTTTATATGAAAAAAAACCTGAAAAATCTGTCGTTCGATCGGCGACGTTACCACCAACGGTAAAAAAAATTGGCCGATTTTTCGTACCGTCTACAATCTGCATTTAATTACTTCTGTCCCTTGCAGAGAGCTCCCCTATTATATTTGACAAGAAAAAGTATTGTGGTTGCAACAATGTATCCATTTAGGGTACAGATATTCTTATTTGGATACAAATAGATACATTCTTTGCAACCGCAAGACTTTTCATTTAAAATATAATAAAGGACTGGGAATTCTGCTTTTTCTTTCCTCTTTCTCATCTTTCTTCTTTCTCTTCTCCTTCTTTCTCTTCGTCCTTCTTTATCTCTCTCCTTCTTTCTCTCTCCTTCTTATCCTCTTCTCCTTCTTTCTTTCCTCCTCTCTTTCTCTTCTCCTTCTTTCTCTTCTCCATCTTCGTCTTCTTCTCCTCCTTTCTTTCTCTTCTTTTCTCCCTCTTCTTTCTCTTCTCCCTCTTCTTTCTCTTCTCCCTTCTCTTTCTTTCTCCCTCTTCTTTCTCGTTCCTTCTTTCTCTTCTCCCTCTTCTTTTCTTCTCTTCTTTCTCTTCTCCTCTTCTTTCTCTCTTCTCCCCATCTTCTTTCTCTTCTCCTCTTCTCCTTCTTTCTCTTCCTTCTTTCTCTTTCTCCTCTTCTCCTTCTTTTCCTCCTAGCTTCTCTCTTCTCCTCTTCTCTTCTTTCTCTTCTCCTCTCTCTCTTCATTCTCTTCTCCTCTTCCTTTCCTTTCTTTCTCTTCTCCTCTTCTCCTTCCTTCTCTTTCTCCCACTTCTCACCTTCCTTCTCTTCTTTCTCTTCTCCTCTTCTCCTACTTCTCTTCCTTCTCTTCTCCTTCTCTCTTCTTTCACCTTTCCTCTCTTCTCCTCTTCTCCTTCCTTCTCTTCTCTCTTTTCCTCCTTCTCTTTTCCTTCTTCTCTTCTCCTTCCATCTCTCTTTCTCCTTCCTTTCTCTTCTCCTCGTCTCCTTCCTTCCTTCTCTTCTCCCTCTTCGTCTTCCTTCCTTTCTCTTCTCACCTCTTCTCCTTCCTTCCTTCTCTTCCTCCTTCCTTCTCTCCTTTTCTTCTCTTCTTTCTCCTTCCTCTTCTTCTCTCTTCTCCTTCCTCATTCTCTTCCTCTCTCTTCTCCTTCTTCCTTTCTTCTCTCCTCATTACTCCTTCTATTCTTCACCTCCCTTCTCCTCACTCCTACTCTTCTCCTTCTACCTTTTTCTCTTCATCCTCTATCTCATCTCCTCTTCTCCACATCTCTTCTTCTCCTCTTCTCCTTCCTTCCAACTCTTCTACTATCCTCAATTCCTGTCCTTCCTTCTCTTCTCCTCTCTCCTTCCTTACCCTTTTCCTATCTCTTCTCCCATCTTCTCCTTCCTTCTCTTCTCCTTCTTCTCCTTCCTTCTCTTCTCCTTCTTCTCCTTCTCCGTCCTTCTCCTTCTCTCCATCACTCTTCCCATTCCTTCCTTTCCTCTTCTCCTCTTCTCCTTCTCCACTTCTCATCTCCTCTTCTCCTTTCTCCTTCTCCTTCTCTTCTCCTCTTCTCCTTTCTCACCTTACATCTCTCCTCTCTCTCCTTTCTCCTTCCTTCTTCTCTTTCTCCTCTTCTCACTTCCTTCTCTTCTCTCTCCTCTTCTCCTTCCTTCTCTTCTCTTCTCCTCTTCTCCTTCATCTCTTCTCTCTCTTGCTCCCTTCTTCTCTTCACTTCCTCCTCTTCTCCTTTCCTTCGCTTCTCTCTCCTCTTCATTCTTCCTTCTCTTCTTCTTTCTCCTCTTCTCCTTCCTCTTTCTTCTCCTCTTTCCTCTTCTCGCTTCTCTTTCTCTTCTCTTTCTCCTCCTTCCTCCTTCCTTCTCTTCTCTTCTCCTCTTCTCCTTCCTTCTCCTTCTCTTCTCCTCTTCCTCCCTTCCTCTTCCTTCTCTTTCTCCTCTTTCTCCTTCCTTCTCTTCTCCTCTTCCTCCTTCTTCTCTTCTCCTCCTAACTCCTCTTCTCCTACATTCTCTTCTCCTCTTCTCCTTTCCTTCCTTCTCTTCTCCTTCCTTCCTTCTCTCGTCAGCTCTTCTCCTTCTTCCTTCTCTTCTCTTCTCCCTCTTCTTCTTCCTTCTCTTCTCTTCTCCTTCTTCTCCCTTCTCCTTCCTTCCTTCTCTTCCTTCTCCTCTTCTCCTTCCTTCTCTTCTCTTCTCTCCTCTTCTCCTTCCTTCTCTTCTCTTCTCCTCTTCTCCTCCTTCTCTTCTCTTCTCCTTCTCTTCTCTTCCTTCTCTTCTCCTTCTTCTTCTCTTCTCTTCTCTCTTCTCCTTCTCTTCTCTTCTCTCTTCTCCTCTTCTCCTTCTCTCTTCTCTTCTCTTCTCCTCTTCTCCTTCCTTCTCTTCTCTCCTCCTCTTCTCCTTCTGCTTCTCTTCTCTTCTCCTCTCTTCTCTTCTCCTCTTCTCCTTCCTTCTCTTCTCCTTCATTCTCTTCTCTTCTCCTCTTCTCCTTCCTTCTCTTCTCTTCTCCTCTTCTCCTTCCTTCTCTTCTCTTCTCCTCTTCTCCTGTCTTTCTTTCTCTTCTCCTCTTCTCCTTCCTTCTCTTCTCTCTCCTCTTCTCCTCCTTCTCTTCTCTTCTCTTCTCCTCTTCTCCTTCCTTCTCCTTCTCTTCTCCTCTTCTCCTTACCTTCTCTTCTCCTTCTCCTCTTCTCCTTCCTACTCTTCTCTCTCTTCTCCTCACCTTCCTCTTCTCCTTCCTTCCTTCTCTTCTCCTTTCATTCTCCTTCCATCTCTCTTTCTCTGTCTTTTCTTCTTTCTCCTGCTTTCCTTTACTTTCTGCTTTCTCCCTGCTTTCTCTTTTTCTTCTTTCTCTTTCTTTTTCTTCTGCAGATTCACGGCTCATGCGCAGATTTTTTTTTATCAGGTAAAATGATCGGACGCCGATTTGCCCATCATTACCAGAAAATCGTGTCCGTACCGAATCGTCAAAATCGCCGCTAGATTTTCCATAAAAAAACACAAAATGCTGACTGACCGATAAAAAAAAAAATGTGCCAAAAACCCCAAAAAATGCGGCCAACCAATTAACCCACTAACGGTGCGGAAAAATCGGCCTATTTTCAGCGACCTCGTCTATGGCCTGCATTATGACTGCCTTTTATGGATTGTATCCTTGTCAGGTCACAATCTACGAACGGAACCCGATGTAACACATAAATATGCGGGTGAGGGGGGGGGGGGCGGGGGGGGGGGGGGGGGAAAAACAGCTGCTATTCTAAACACCCCACACACCCCCCCCAATATTATACTTTGCTAAACCTGCAGGTCCCGGCCATAAATAATTGTCTGGGACCACGCTGATCGTACGCTTTTGCTGCAGCGAATGACAGCACAGAATGAAATATTTTCCTTGATCAGGGCAAGGACTGATACAAGTGGTCCATTGTGATTTTGTAAACCCCGCGTGTAATAAAGTTGATTGGTAGTAAATTCGCATAGTATTAATAATAAAAATCCGTAGAGCTCATGTTACACGGGACATTTGGAAAACTCTTCTCTTCTGAAAGATGGAATTGACTGGGAAAACGTAGGGTTAAAAAACGTCAGTTTTACCGCGTTCGCATACCGCGTTTAATGTGCGTTTGCGTTTTTAAAAGATAAACATCAGGAGACCTTCAAAAATGCACTGAAAATCAGTAAACAGCATTTAACTATTTCAGGACATTTTGAGAGAAATAGAGAGAGCAGAAGCAGAGAGAGTAGTTATGTGTTGAGATGACCTGTCTCTTCTGGTTGTATTCACTATGGATCCCCACCATGAGCCATAATGCGGCGCGTTCTACCATTTTTTTTTTTTTTTTCCTTCACGCAAAACCTGGAGCTGACTAGCGGCTGGTGGTACCGGGTCTATTTGAATACATGGAAAACACTTTGCATGCATTTCTGATGATGAAAAAAGGCTCCGGACAGCATCTGGATATGGAACAGTTAAAAAAAAAAAAAAAACGAGTTAGCACGCTTTCCTAAACAGCAGTTAGTCCACGTTAACAAGTGTTTTAAACGCTGATAAAATCTACTCTGAACGCATGCAGTTTGGTGCATTAAAACAAAACGACTGTAAAATCTGAAATCGCCTGTAAACGACTGTAAACAGATGTGTACATGGACACATGAGGAAAACATTATGGACGAGTTCAGGGTCTGCTGAAAAAAAAAAACCGCAGAAAAGCTTCTAAACGTCAGTTAATCAGAAGCTCAGTGTACTTGGACCCTTAGGGGCTCATGTTATACACTGCAGACTGATGAGACTGCTCACATTTCTAGATGTTCAACATTTATTTACACAGCAGCCCCTGACACTCTACTCCGCTAATGTTCTCCTATGTGACCGTCGATACACATCGACGTCTTACAGGCATGTTCAGTTTACAGTAGTCCTTTTTTGAATGCACCAAACTTGCGTTCAGGGAGTAGATTCTCCCTTATCAGCGTTTCTAACGTTGAAACGCTTGTAAACACGGCAAATTGCGTTTTATATACAGCGTTTTTACGTCAGAATTTTTTTTTTTTGATTTAACTCTTCCAGTTCCTGCTTGCTGTCCAGAGCCTTTATTTCGATCATGAAAAATATGCATGCAAAGTGTTTTCAAAGGTACTCAAATGGACTAAAAACACTTGAACACAGGATGTTACCTACCAAGCTTGTCACACATTGTAATGACCAATTCACACCTCAGACCTCCTCCCAACCCTTAGAAACAAAAGATATGTTAATGACCATTCACTCACTCAAATTCCTCATGAAGACCCCTGCCAGGTGGCCTTAATGACTCCCTCCACCAGACACCTTTCCCACCCTTGGAAACAAAAAGAAATGATAAGGGAGCAACTCACAACCTAAGCAAATCTCAACACACGACTGCTGTCTCTGCTTCTACTCTCTGTATTTCTCTGAAAACAGTCTGAAATAGTTTAATAATTTACCACTTTTCAGTTCATTCTCTGGGCATTTGGAGGAGTTCTCCACCTGTGCTTATCTTTAAAAAAAAACGCTATCTAAACTCAAACGCACATCAAAGTTCATGTTATGCCAACGTGGCTAAGCAGAAGTTTTTTACCCTACGTTTTCCAGCAGTTTCCATCGTTCAGAAGTGTCCCGTGTACATGGGGCCTTACAGCACTATGTGATTTCATTTATTTTATAATTTTTTTTTCTTCTTTGAAGGGCTGCTACATGCGACCAATGGAGATGATTCCTCTTCCTGAATACGCAGCCGTGTGCCAACCCGTCGGTGTCACAGATGGTTACAGCCCTCGAGATGCACCTCGCCACCAAGTAAAAGGATAGAGGAGGATACGCTTCAGGTGTGACTGTTCCGTTTAAAGAGTTAACCGCGTATACGGTTTCGGAGCAAGTCTTGGAGCGTCAGCAGGAAGTCCCAAAACCAGCCGAGCTTCTTCACGATAAGGAAATGTTTGTGGATTCCCCGATAATTCCAGCAGCGCAAGATGACCCGCAGCTTTTTGGGGAAAGCACATGAAAAACTGTTGGCTCCCAACAGAGGCTGTGGCCTGGAAGATGGCGCGAAGGTAAATGTCTAAAAATCGCAAGCGTCGCGCATCCACTGACCATGGTATTACATGTAAATAGTATAAAGTGTATAAACATACATATATGAGAGAGATAATATATTGGATTAAAATAAATTTAAATTAGTCCCAACATACTGCTGCTGCATGCATGTCTTCAAATAATCTGTGATTCTAATATATCTTCTAATGATGTATATACAGGTAATTATCGCGGCAGTACACCGATCTTAAAATGTGTTTTTTGCGCAGGCACGAGAGCCCATTCATTTGAATGGACGCCCGTGACAAGCAGGGAAGAAGTCCCTGCACTTCTTTAGAAAACGCAGCCCACACGGGAACCTCAGTTGCCAGTACGGTTGCGTTTCCCAGTGCGGGCGGCGTGCCATTAGAACGAATATCACCCGCCCGCGGGTCCACATTTATCTGTGCAGGTGGTGCAGCTGCACGGATTTTAATGCAGATCCGCAGCGGCACCACCCGCACAGATGTGCACCAGGGGTGAGTGAGGTCATAAAGGCTTGTGTCCCTTTAACCACTTTCAGTCCGGACACTTATGCAGGCCATAGATGGGTCGAAAATCGCCGATTTTTCGGCCGAAAATAAAATCGGCCGATTTTCGGATCGTTAGTGGGCGATTTGGTCGGCCGTTTTTCGGTATTTTGGCCGTTTTTTTTTTTCGGTAAAGTTGGAAAAAAATCGGCCGATTTTGCCGATCGGCCGATTTTCGCGGCAATTAGTGGGCAAATCGGCCGATTTTTTACCGATAAAAAATCTGCGCATGAGCAGTGACCTGCAAGAGGAAGACAAAAAGAAGAGGATGAAGAAGAAGAAGAGGATGAAGAGGATGAGTATGAAGGAGAAGAGGATGAGTATGAAGGAGAAGAGGATGAGTATGAAGAAGAAGATGAGGAGGATGAAGAAGAGGATGAGGATGAAGAAGAAGAGGATGAGGATGAAGAAGAAGAAGAGGATGAGGATGATGAAGAAAGAAGAGGATGAGGATGAAGAAGAAGAGGATGAGGATGATGAAGAAGAAGGAGGATGATGAAGAAGAAGAGGATGAGGATGAAGAAGAGGATGAGGATGAAGAAGAGGAAAGAAGAAGAGGATGAGGATGAAGAAGGATGAAAATAAGAATTCCAGTCCAGCAAAAAGTGTCCCTGCAGAGAGCTCCGCTATTTCTGACAGTTCTCTGACAGTTCCTTGACATTTACAGCGGTTGAAACATTGTATCTATTTGTTTCCGAATAAAAACATCTGTATCCTAAATGGAAACAAATAGATACAATGTTTCAACCGCTGTAAATGTGAAGGAACTGTCAGAGAACTGTCAGAAATAGCGGAGCTCTCTGCAGGGACACTTTTTGCCGGCTGTAGAAGGGATGAAAATCGGCCGATTTTTTTTTTTTTTTACCATTGATGGTAACGTCGGCCGCTTGAACGACCGAATTTTCGTTTTTTTTTAAAAGAAAAATCTGCCGGTTTTCTCCCCATCTATGGCCTGCATTATACCCCCTTCCTGTCTAGGCCAATTTTCAGCTTTCAGCGCTGTCACACTTTGAATGATCATTATCATTGCAGGTAAAGTGGGTCAAACTCAGTCTTTTGTGGAGTTTTGCGTTCAGTTGCACGCATGTGAGCAGGTCTCTAAGCTCACAAGAAGGTGCACAAGCTTTAACTGCCAACTGCACCTCTTGACGAACGTTGTCCTCTTCTAACCAATCAACTAGGAGACTTGAATACTATGCAGTTGAGCTGCTGTTTTACTACTCCTCCTCGAGCCACAAAGGCAGTGGAGGGCTGTGCTCACATGCTGCGGCCATGATGCTATGCATAACTGCACGTAAAAAGTTATGCCCACTGTTGCATTCGGGGTGGGCATTACTGTGACGGGAGTCCTTTTCGGTGGGGGGCCCATGGAACACAGCCCCCTTTGGAGAGGTGGGGAGACCCCTGTCTCAGCTCCCCATATCCCTCTTATGTGTAAGTCACCCTGTGCCTGTTAGGGGTACAGGGTGAAATGTCCTGCTATTGAGTAGACATGTATAAGTAAGGTGGGGGGCTTGTTCATTGTTTAATGCCATGTGGTTGTCCCATTATTCTATTGTGTGTCTTGCTTGGGAGCAAACTATTATGGGATGTATGTGTTTGTGCATTGGCTTGGTGGGGGGGTGTCTGCTGATGTCTCCGTTGCTAGATTTGGTTTGCCCCGCCCTGTGTCCTTATGCAGGGAGGTGGGTTGTTCCCTTGAATGTTTATATCTTGTGTCTGTGTTAAAATAAAGCAGTCTATTTCCTGAGTGATTTCAAGGGTGGTGTCCGTGGATCTGTGTTCGGACAGGGAAGCGGGAGTCTGACGGAAATATGGAAAGCGCAGTCGGGGTTCAATTGCGTTACAATTACCATGTGCTAAATGTGGGTCTCACGATGAAGCCGATGCTTAGAAACGCGTTACCACCACCCCCCCCCCCCTTTGCGGCATTACGCTTCACGTGGTGACGTCACGTCCGTCCGGCCACCATTTTCATTCCAGCCTTGTTTCCATCACAGCTGCTGGACGCTACCAGCGTGGAACCGGGGAGAGACCAGGCTCCCACAGCAGCCCTGGCTCTTAGATATTCCACCCTCTCCACCAGCCTCTGTGTAGTACGAAGTCCATCCTGAGATACATGCCCTTTCTCCACTGTTATCTAGTGTGTTACCTTGCTCAATAAAATAACCTTTCAATACTGCACTTAGTTTGGCGCCCTCTCTCCTTTTCTTCTCTATGCACAGAGTCCAGCTTTACTCTATGGGTGCTGCCTCCTGATGTTGCTGATTACACTATACTCATTGAAACACTGCATAATACGGACTACTCCCTTACGATTCTGGACTTTAAAGTGGAGTTCCACTCACTCTGTCAAAAAATAAGTCAGCAGCTACAAAACCTTTAGCTGCTGACTTTTAAAAAACAGCCACTTACCTGTCTCGCGGTGTGTCCCCCCGCAGCCCGTTTCACCGGCCTTCCTGGAGGCCGCCATCTTCAGTGTGGGCACAAGGCCGTGACTACAAAACTGATTGGGACTCTTGGGAATCTTTTGATTGGGACCTTTCCCGATCATGTGACCACCGTGACGGCGTGTCACGGTGGTCACATGACCCCTAAACCCCGCCCCGCCTCCCAGCTTCTGAAACCCTTAAAGGGCCGGGAGGCGCCAAGGGGTTAAGGCAGGGGTAGGCAACCTGCGGCTCTCTAGCTGTTGTGGAACTACATTTCCCATGAGGCATTGCAAAGATTACAAAACTGACAGTTACAGCTATGACTTGCAGAGGCATGATGGAACTTGTAGTCCTGCGGCTCTCAGGTTGCCTACCTCAGGCCCCTCCCCCCCGCCCCCCCCAAAGGTGCCAATCCTTAATGGGGAGTGGGGGGAGCAGTCCTTAAAGCGGAACTTCCCCTTTTGGGTGGAGCTCCGCTTTAAATTCTTCCTTTTCTCTCCAGCGCCAATTTTTCACAGTTTTGTTGAATGTGACCCATTCCACTGCATGGGGGCGCCCCACGATCACATGCAGTGCATGCGTTTGCAGCATGCTAGTGAGGGGTTCAGGGGGGTTAAAACTGGTGGTGAGGAGGCCATAGGATCCCTCCTCACTGCCTGTCAAATGCTCTCTCAAGAGCGTTCGACATTTGATTCGCTCTTCAGAGAGCAACGTTGGTGTAAATTAGCCCTTGCATGGTGTCTTTCTGCAGACGGTGTGATCCCAGATCTTCCTCCGTCACAAAGCGCCTTGGCTTTTGGTCACAGAACAAGAGGGAGCTGGAAGCAGCATTTTCTCCAGAAAAGGTAAGCATGTCAATTTTCAGTGGTCAGGCCCTCTCGTCCTGTTGGTGTTGACCCCTATCTTAAAACCATTGTGACCTGTGGGGGTAGGTATTCCCCACCCCCGCTTCTCTCCTTGGCTCCCCCACTGGCCTCTCTGGACTTGTAGTTCCGCCGCAGGCTGTCTGTCTCCTTCTGGCAGCCCCCTGTCACTCTTCACTCCGGTCTGAATCTCATCATGTCGCAGCTCTGGCTTGAGAGGAAAGGTTATGTTCTCCCAGCCCCCAGCCAGTTATCCTTTCTGATTATATTACCAGCTGCGTGGCTTTCTTGGAGACGGCAACAGGACCTCGTGTTTTATTTATTTATTTATTTTTCTCCAAAATTGATTTTACTTTTTTCTTTTTTTTCTTTTTTTTTGTAGTCTGACGCTGTTCTAGCTTGCCAGGTAGGGTGGTTTTAGTTGGATGATCTATAGTTCTCTTGCTTGACCCTTTTTTGGTAACTTTCTGGATAATGGCTTGTTCCTCGACCAACAATCTGAGTCTCTGCTGTGAAGGTAATAGAAGCCGAGTGCTTATCTGTGTACTACGGGAGGTTTAGGACAACCGGCTTTATGTTTTATGTGTGCCGGCCAAATATAGATCCGTGGAGTCTTCTGGCTGACCGTCTTGGTTTATATTCTGTCGAAAAACCGGTGAAGCAGCTGATTTCCATATGTTCTGGGAAACGGCCTGTTGTTGTTGTTTTAGTAACCGGTTTATTAAGTGTTTTAAGAACTGCTGTAGTGATTGAATACAGGAAAAAGTAGCAATTTACTTTCATGCTGTGTTGCTTTTTTATTGCCGATTATAAAGCACGTGTGAGCCATGTATGGTTATGCTTCGCATTCTTCATCAGCATAGCCTATCGGCTCGCTTCTTTTTTTATTGTATGCTTTCTTACTGTCACATTGTTGTTTGTATAGCCTAAATAAAATAATAAGGGCTTGTTCAAAATGTGGACACTCTTTTAAAGTACTTTGAATGACAGTCAAAGCCCCTGAAGTGAAGTAAAATAGTAAGCTCACAGTCCTGTTTACACGTTGCGTTTGCTTCTAAAATTATACCCCATGACGCTTTCTGCCCCTTCCTTTGTAAATTTGTTTGTTGGGTATATTATTATTATTTTTTTATTATACAGTATTTATAAAGCGCCAATAGTTCGCTCAGCGCTGTACATTACAAAGGGGGACAGAACATGTGACAGAACAATACCAATACACGGAGGAGCACAACATTTATCTCATGCCTTTGTTCATTGATCATGTCAAATGCTGGCTAAGATATATTGATGATATCTTCCTTATTTGGAAAGGGGAAACATCTATTTTTTATGAGTTTGTTGATCAGCTTAACGGCATCTTTCCTGGTATCCTTTTCAACCCTGAGATATCCCCCCAACACCATTACATATCTTGATGTGAGGATCACTAACAACCAGGGTACACTCCAGACATCTCTGTGCTCAAAACCAACAGACAGGAACACCCTACTACATTACCAGAGCGCACATCCCAAGCATCTCCGTGATAGCCTGCCTACTTCACAGTTCAAGAGGGTGTTACGCATTTGTTCCTGTGACAGGATAGAACAACTTGAGGCCATGTATAGAAAATTTGTGGAACGAGGTTATCCTACTCGAGTACTTGAGCAGGCATTAGCCAGAGCTACGGCAGATTTTGAAGGCAGCCATAGGGCGGCCAACAGGCCGCTCTTTATACACGGCTTCAATCAGGCATCTGAGCGTATTAAACATGCGGTCATGCGTAACATGAACATCCTTAGAGCTGATTATTATTATACAGTATTTATAAAGCGCCAATAGTTCGCTCAGCGCTGTACATTACAAAGGGGGAGAGAACATGTGACAGAACAATACCAATACAATGCAAAACATGAGGGGATCGAGGGCCCTGCTCTTTTGAGCTTACAATCTAGGAGGTGATGACACTCTATCACCCGACTTAAAGAATCCACCATTAATGGCACATAAGCGAGGTAGATCCCTACGTGACTTATTCGTTCAAGCGGACCCTAGGACCAAATACGCTAAGGCAGTATTCAAGTTCTCAGAAAGAAAGGGTTGCTACAAGTGTTCGGCTACGTTCACACTAGCCTTGTTTTCAAGCGGCAGAAAGGCGTTTGGGAAGCGCTTTTACCGCTTCCCAAACGCCTCGGACAATTCTGCGCATTGCAGCACATGGTGCTGTTCTAACGGGAGCGGTAGCGTCGCAACAGACACCTCTGGTCGAGTCAGGAGGTGTTGAAGCCTCCTATTCTTTTATATGGTACCGCTCCGCAAATGCCCGGGTGGCGTTTGCGTAGCGGGTCGTAACACCATTTAAACTTCATTATAGGCGTTTGTGGGGCGTGCTTGTGCAAACGCCTAGCAACCGCCGCTAAACCGTGCATGCGGCGTTTGACGAGCGTTAAAAACCGCTCCGCAAACGCCGGACCAACGCTTGCCAAACGCTATAGGGGTGTTTGGCGAGCGTTGGTAAAACAGTCAAGTGTGAACGAGCCTGTACAGTGTGCTCGTGACATTTTTCCTTCTAAAATTATTCCCCATATCGCTTTCTTGGCATTTCAAAGCATCTCCAAAGCCTCCAGAGAAGTCGATCACAATGATCACTAACATTACAATAACACATAACTGATGATAAAAATATTTGGATCGGATTTTATTTAGAGTCAGCCTCACTTTTTTCATAAGTATTTCATTTATGAGAGCTCCTAGGATGCAGGACCAGAGAGAGAGAGAGAGAGAGAGAGAGAGAACAGGATCACAAACAGGATCAGCAAACCAGAGGATCTTCGGAGCTGGGGGGGAGCAGCATAGCTGGGGGTTTGCGGCGAGGTGGGGGATCGGCCGAGCTGGGGGTTTGCGGCGGAGGTGGGGATCGGCCGAGCTGGGGGTTGCGGCGGAGGTGGGGCATCGGCCGAGCTGGGGGTTTGCGGCGGAGGTGGGGGGATCGGCCGAGCGGCCGAGCTGGGGCATCGGCCGAGCTGGGGGTTGCGGCGGAGGTGGGGCATCGGCCGAGCTGGGGGTGGCGGCGGAGGTGGGGCGGCGGCCCAGGTGGGGGTTCGGCGGAGCTGGGGGTGGCCGGCGGAGCTGGGGTTGCGGCGGAGGTGGGGCATCGGCCGAGCTGGGGGTTGCGGCGGAGCTGGGGGTTGGGGCCTATCGGCATCGGCCCAGCTGGGGGTTGCGGCGGGGGGGCAGGTGGGGGTTGCGGCGGGGCATCGGCCGAGCTGGGGGTTGCGGCCTAGGTGGGGCATCGGCCGAGCTGGGGGTTGCGGCGGGGGCATCGGCCGAGCTGGGGGTTGCGGCGGGGCATCGGCCGAGGTGGGGGTTGCGGCGGGGGCATCGGCGGAGGTGGGGGTTGCGGCGGAGGTGGGGGATCGGCGGAGCTGGGGGTTGCGGCGGAGGTGGGGGGGGGGGAATCAGCAGAGCTGGGGTTTGTGGGGGGGAGGAATCAGCAGAGCTAGGCGGTGGAGGTTGGAGATCTACTGAATAAGGGTACCAATGAGCTGGGGATCTTCTGGGCCCTTTTAGAACGATAGAACATCAGTAAACACAATAAATAAGTGTCACCGAAGCATGAAAATCACATTAAAAAAGCATGTTGAAGCAGTAGGTGTTTTGCATGTTTGCAAAAAAAGTCCTGAGTGTATTAGGGTTCATTCACACTTGCTTTGATTTTAGAGTATACTTTTGGCCTTGATCAGCCAGTCATGAAAGGGCCTCATAACTGGTATCTCTGCTGAACAATAATTGTCAGCCACCTAGTAAGGCCGAGGTCCGACCCAAACGACCTTCCTAGATATGTGGATTTGCAGAGGCCTGCACATGAAATCTGTGTGTTTTTCAGTAGAGGAGTAATGTGTTGTCTCTGGTTTCTAGAAGCTGAGCCTTATGTGAACCTGACGTTCGTGAAGAATGACCACTATGAGAAGGGGAACGACGTGGTCGTCGTGCATGTTTATGTCAAGCAGATCTGCAAGGAGACCTCTCGGGTGCTGTTTCGGGAGCAGGATTTCACTCTGATCTTTAAGACTAGGTAAGCACCCGCAGCCCAAATCACACCCCCAGGGTTCTGCTTATTGGGAAAAGCTGCCACAAAAATTAAAGGTGGTTTGTATAAATGATACAAATTCTACCTCTTGGATCTGTCAGATTTTCTAGCTCAGTGGACCCCTTGGAAATGTATTAAAAAGCCAAAAAAAAAGGTTCTTTGCACTTGGTAGTCTGGAGGGTATAAATCCCCTTTAAAGGCAGCCATGTAAAACTCAAACTAAAATAGATGCAATAATTGTATGGAATTTTAGGAATGGCACAGGTATGCCGAAGCATTCTTTCCTAATGTACTTAAAGTGGGTTGTAAAGGCTCAAGGCTTTTTTTTTTTTTTATACCTTCGTGTATTCTGTGGGGGCACTTGACAGGAGGGAGGGTCCTGGAGTGGCGGTGGGGGACCCAAGAAGAGGAGGATCCAGGCCACTCTGTGCAAAAACACAGCAGGTATGTATAACATGTTTGTTTAACCACTTCCAGTCCAGACACTTCCCCCCCCTTCCCGAGTCCGGACACTTCCACCCCCTTCCAGTCCGGACACTTCCACCCCCTTCCAGTCCGGACACTTCCACCCCCTTCCAGTCCGGACACTTCCACCCCCTTCCAGTCCGGACACTTCCACCCCCTTCCAGTCCGGACACTTCCACCCCCTTCCAGTCCGGACACTTCCACCCCCCTTCCAGTCCGGACACTTCCACCCCCCTTCCAGTCCGGACACTTCCACCCCCCTTCCAGTCCGGACACTTCCACCCCCCTTCCAGTCCGGACACTTCCACCCCCCTTCCAGTCCGGACACTTCCACCCCCCTTCCAGTCCGGACACTTCCACCCCCCTTCCAGTCCGGACACTTCCACCCCCCTTCCAGTCCGGACACTTCCACCCCCCTTCCAGTCCGGACACTTCCACCCCCCTTCCAGTCCGGACACTTCCACCCCCCTTCCAGTCCGGACACTTCCTCCCCCCCCCCCCTTCCAGTCCGGACACTTTCACCCCCTTCCTGCCCAGGCCAATTTTCAGCTTTCAGCGCTATCACACTTTGAATGACAATTGCGCGGTCATGCAACACTGTACCCATATGAATTTTTTAGCTTTTTTTTTGAGACAGATAAAGCTTTATTTTGATGGTATTTATTCACCACTGGGATTTTTATTTTTTTTTTGCTATATAAATGAAAAAGTCCAAAAAAATTTTAAAAAGATTTTCCTATAAAATTTTGCAAATAAATAATCTTTCTTCATAAATCTTGGCCAAAATTTATTCCGTTCTTTTTTAGTAAAAAAAAAATAAAATAACCCAAATTAGTTTATAACCAAAAATTAAAATTTTTAAACTTTTTTTTTTTACATTTTTATTTTTTATTTACATACTGTCTACTGTACTACTTGTGGGGGGTGATGTTTTTTTTTTTTTTTTACACTGATTGCTTTTACACCCATACAGGCTGTAAAAGCAATCATTTCCCTCTCTCTGGCTGCATTCTTGCAGCCATTGAAAACTACTATGCGAGCTGTGATTGGTCACAGCTTGTCGCATGGTACAAGGCTGTTGTGAATGGCCCTGTACCATGTGATCTCTGTGATCATTCACAGATTTCACACGTAGTAAGCAATGATGTCAGAAGTGACATCTTGCTTACTACTCTGCATGTGATCACTGTTTGGCCAATCAGTGATCACATGATCGGGATCTCACACAGAGGTCCCGTCCGACCGTTGTGTCCCCTATGTCATGAAAAAAAAGTTAAGCCAAAACAATTGAGGGCCCCCCCCCCCCAACATATACGTGCGTACGAACGTAGACTCCTGCATCGGATGAGGTGCATATGCGTCAAAACATCAATTGCGATACACCTGTTACATATCGCCGCACTCAGAGAGCAATCATTCTAGCACAAGACCTCCTCTTTAACTAAACGGATTGATCTGTGGGGGGCTTTTGAAGAGTCGCCTATAGAAAATATACAGTACTGAAGTTTGTCACCATTTCACAGGCGCGCACAAATTTAACCTCTTGGCGTTGGTCGCACGCAAATGTGCGGCCTTTCGGAGTCTGGGCCTTGACACCGAGTGGCTGCACATTTGTGTGAAATTAAAAAAAAACAAAACATTCAGGTACTTATATATCGCTGTCCATTTACGCAGCACTTTACATATATATTGTACATTCACATCAGTCCCAACCCTCAAGGGGCGTACAATCTAAGGTCCCTAACCCTCAAGGGGCGTACAATCTAAGGTCCCTAACCCTCAAGGGGCGTACAATCTAAGGTCCCTAACCCTCAAGGGGCATACAATCTAAGGTCCCTAACCCTCAAGGGGCGTACAATCTAAGGTCCCTAACCCTCAAGGGGTGTACAATCTAAGGTCCCTAACCCTCAAGGGTGTACATCTAAGGTCCCTAACTTACATACATACACATACTAGGGACAATTTAGACAGGAGCCAATTAACCTACCAGCATGTCTTTGGCGTGTGGGAGGAAACCGCAGTACCTGGAGGAAACCCACGCAGGCACAGGGTGAACATGCAAACTCAAGGCAGGAGGTGCCGTGGTTGGGATTTGAACCAACAACCCTAGTACTGCCAGGTGGAAGTGCTAACCATTTAGCCACTGTGCTGCCCAACGTATGTGCTGAGAGCGCGCGTCCTGCGCGCTTCCAGCACACATGACCAGTACTCGCGGAAAGGTCTTTCGATTGGGACCTTTCCCAATCATGTGACCGCCGTGACGGAGTGTCACGGCGGTCACATGACCCTAAACCGCTCCCCGCCTCCCAGCTTCTGAAACCCTTAAAGGGCCGGGAGGCGCCAAGGGGGGGGCAGGGGTAGGCAACCTGCGGCTCTCTAGCTGTTGTGGAACTACATTTCCCATGAGGCATTGCAAAGATTACAAAACTCAGTTACAGCTATGACTTGCAGAGGCATGATGGAACTTGTAGTCCTGCAGCTCTCAGGTTGCCTACCCCTTGGTTAAGGTGTAACATGTTGGATATCTATTTACTCGGCGCAACCTCGTCTTTTATATTCTACCAAAAATTTTGGTAATTTATTGCGATTTCCCCCTATAATTCACTTTTAATGTTTTTTTTTTTTTTTTTTTAACTGAAATTTTCGTGGTAGTATTGTGTGACAAAAAATTGGAACTGCCACTATTTTATTCTCTAGAGTGTCTGCTTTCAGAAAATACATAATATTTAGGAGTTTTGTTTATTCTTCAGGCCACAAATGATTTTTTTTAAACGTGTGCAAAAACAAATTGCAAAAAACAGCTCTGGTAGCGAAAGGGTTAAAGGTTTGCATGGTGCGATGTGCTGCTGTGCCATTATTATGTTTGTGCATTTCTACGCTCTGCATTGGGATATTGAATTACTGCATTACATTTCAAACTGAACTTTGTGTGAAAACTGAAGGAAAATCCTAATTTTTTTTTTGTGTGTTTTTAGTGATCCCAACTTTCTAAGGCTCCACCCCGGTTGTGGTCCTGACCCAGTCTTCAGATGGCAGGTGAAACTCAGGTGAGATGTCGGTTTATTCGGACAGGTCTGTAGTCCTGCCGCAATTTGGTTGCAGGGAACTAATTCTATTTTCTTTTTTAGGAACCTTATAGAGCCAGATTTGTGCAGATTCAACTTCACAGGCTCTCGAATTGATATCTCTCTACAGAAGAAACAGTGTCAGAGATGGGGAGGCCTTGAGGCACCAACCACACAAGGTCTGCACCCTGAATTCTACCTTTTTATGTATGGGTACATTTAAAAAAGAATTACTGACCTCCCAATACTGTGACATCAAAGAAGTTAGTAGTTCAGTTTTAAAAATGCTAGTTGTGACCTAGCAACACTTGCTGGCTGTGACATCGTAGTAGTGATTGTGACATCACAATACTGACATTCAAAGAAACTGGACCTTGCAGTATATCACAGAACTGTACCGTCAGACCACAATACTTACAATGACTGTACATTACCAACAGTGACCTCTGATGACATCATAATGTTGACTGTGACATCAGACGAATGACATCACAATACTGACATTCCGAGAAACTGGACCTTGCAGTATATCAACCACAATACTTACAATGACTGTACATTACCAACAGTGACCTCCGATGACATCATAATGTTGACTGTGACATCAGACGAATGACATCACAATACTGACATTCAAAGAAACTGGACCTTGCAGTATATCAACCACAATACTAACAATGACTGTACATTACCAACAGTGACCTCCGATGACATCATAATGTTGACTTTGACATCAGATGAACGTAGTTCTTCAGGAACGAGTTTGAATTAACACTCTCGCGCATGGGCCACACTTTTTGAATTAGAAGATATAACGTGTTACATCTCCATTATTATTATTATTATTATTATACAGTATTTATAAAGCGCCAATAGTTCGCTCAGCGCTGTACATTACAAAGGGGGACAGAACATGTGACAGAACAATACCAATACAATGCAAAACATGAGGGGATCGAGGGCCCTGCTCTTTTGAGCTTACAATCTCCATAATGCTTTACTGACACTTAGATGTTTTTAAAGTGTTACTAAACCCACAACAGTACAATCAGTCTGTAGATGCAGTAAAGCATGCTTGTTATACTCACTGTGGAACCTAAGGGGTTAATCCTCTGCATTGTGTAAAAAGGCTGTTTTGATCCTGACTTCTATGATCCTCCCCTTCTTCCAGTGTCCCCCTCTTATCCCCTGATAAGACATATCGTGTGTAGACGCTGTACACATGCTCAGTGGTGTCTTTTTAGGTTTTGTGCTAGGCAACACACAAATCGTATGCCCCCATGGACACCAACCAGCACCACCCCCTCCCGCAGAGAGAGCCTGACATTGACCAACAACACCCCTGCCCCCCACCTGGGATAGCCCCCTCCACCCCAGCAATAGAGAGGGACACTCATCTTCACAGCTCCAGACATCCCCGGGAACGAGAGTCATGCTCTACATACACCATCAAGCAGCCCGCAGCCTCTCTTGGATCCCACCTGGTTTCATGACGCGCGTGTCCCTTCTTTCATCCCTTCTTCTGGGAGGAGGTGCTGCCACCCTGAAAAATGCCGCCCTAGGCAAGTGCCTTTTTTGCTATGTGGTAAATACACCTCTGATACCCAGTTTGGTGTGTATCGCTAGAGAGGTGTTGTGGTTTTTTTTTTTTTGGTTTTTTTTTTGGGAGGGTGCATGTGATCAGCACAGGGACAAATAGCACTGTTCAGACAGAGGGTCAGGGGTCAGCATCCTCTTAGAGCAGAGAGAAAACTCCTACAAGCTTTGACCAGTGCTGTGCTGGACACAGAAGTCACAAGACTGCTCTATACTGCTGATGAAAACATTAGTTTGGATTTACTAAAATAATCATTCCATGTTCTGTGTACTGTAGGAGACTGGATGCAGGGTCTGTGGAGACAGGATACAGTGAAATCAGGGTTCGGGGAGACGGGATACAGTGAATGCAGGGTCTGGGGAGACCAGATATAGTGAATGCAGGGTCTGGGGAGACCAGATATAGTGAATGCAGGGTTCGGGGAGACGGGATACAGTGAATGCAGGGTCTGGGGAGACCAGATATAGTGAATGCAGGGTCTGGGGAGACCAGATATAGTGAATGCAGGGTCTGGGGAGACCAGATATAGTGAATGCAGGGTCTGGGGAGACCAGATATAGTGAATGCAGGGTCTGGGGAGACCAGATATAGTGAATGCAGGGTCTCTGGGAGACCAGATATAGTGAATGCAGGGTCTGGGGAGACCAGATATAGTGAATGCAGGGTCTGGGGAGACCAGATATAGTGAATGCAGGGTCTGGGGAGAGCAGATATAGTGAATGCAGGGTCCGGGGAGACCAGATATAGTGAATGCAGGGGTTCGGGGAGAGCAGATATAGTGAAAGCAGGGTGCTGAAAGACCAGATATAGTGAATGCAGGGTCCAGGGAGACCGAATAAAGTGAATGCGGGGTCCGGGGAGACCGGATATAGTGAATGCAGGGTCCGGGGAGACCGAATACAGTGAATGCGGGGTCCGGGGAGACCGGATACAGTGAATGCGGGGTCCGGGGACCGGATACAGTGAATGCGGGGTCCGGGGAGACCGGATACAGTGAATGCAGGGTCCGGGGAGACCGGATACAGTGAATGCGGGGTCCGGGGAGACCGGATACAGTGAATGCGGGGTCCGGGGAGACCGGATACAGTGAATGCGGGGTCCGGGAGACCGGATACAGTGAATGCGGGGTCCGGGGAGACCGGATACAGTGAATGCGGGGTCCGGGAGATTGGATACAGTGAATGCGGGGTCCGGGGAGACCGGATACAGGGAATGCGGGGTCCGGGGAGACCGGATACAGGGAATGCGGGGTCCGGGGAGACCGGATACAGGGAATGCGGGGTCCGGGGAGACCGGATACAGGGAATGCGGGGTCCGGGGAGACCGGATACAGGGAATGCGGGTCCGGGGAGACCGGATACAGGGAATGCGGGGTCCGGGGAGAGACCGGATACAGGGAATGCGGGGTTCCGGGAGACCGGATACAGGGAATGCGGGGTCCCGGGAGACCGGATACAGGGAATGCGGGTCCGGGGAGACCGGATACAGGGAATGCGGGGTCCTGAGAGACCGGATACAGGGAATGCGGGGTCCGGGGAGACCGGATATAGGGAATGCGGGGTCCGAGGAGACCGGATATAGGGAAATGCGGGGTCCGAGGAGACCGGATATAGGGAATGCGGGGTCCGAGGAGACCGGATATAGGGAATGCGGGGTCCGGGGAGACAGGATACAGTGAATACGGGGTCCGGGGAGACCGGATACAGGGAATGCGGGGTCTGGGGAGAGCGGATATAGTGAATGCAGGGTCTGGGGAGACCAGATATAGTGAATGCAGGGTCTGGGGAGACCAGATATAGTGAATGCAGGGTCTGGGGAGACCAGATATAGTGAATGCAGGGTCTGGGGAGACCAGATATAGTGAATGCAGGGTCTGGGGAGAGCAGATATAGTGAATGCAGGGTCCGGGGAGACCAGATATAGTGAATGCAGGGTTCGGGGAGAGCAGATATAGTGAAAGCAGGGTGCTGAAAGACCAGATATAGTGAATGCAGGGTCCAGGGAGACCGAATAAAGTGAATGCGGGGTCCGGGGAGACCGGATATAGTGAATGCAGGGTCCGGGGAGACCGAATACAGTGAATGCGGGGTCCGGGGAGACCGGATACAGTGAATGCGGGGTCCGGGGAGACCGGATACAGTGAATGCGGGGTCCGGGGAGACCGGATACAGTGAATGCGGGGTCCGGGGAGACCGGATACAGTGAATGCGGGGTCCGGGGAGACCGGATACAGTGAATGCGGGGTCCGGGGAGACCGGATACAGTGAATGCGGGGTCCGGGGAGACCGGATACAGTGAATGCGGGGTCCGGGGAGACCGGATACAGTGAATGCGGGGTCCGGGGAGACCGGATACAGTGAATGCGGGGTCCGGGGAGACCGGATACAGTGAATGCGGGGTCCGGGGAGATTGGATACAGTGAATGCGGGGTCCGGGGAGACCGGATACAGGGAATGCGGGGTCCGGGGAGACCGGATACAGGGAATGCGGGGTCCGGGGAGACCGGATACAGGGAATGCGGGGTCCGGGGAGACCGGATACAGGGAATTCAGGGAACCGGATCGGGGTCCGGGGAGACCGGATACAGGGAATGCGGGGTCCGGGGAGACCGAATACAGGGAATGCGGGGTCCGGGGAGACCGGATACAGGGAATGCGGGGTCCGGGGAGACCGGATACAGGGAATGCGGGGTCCGGGGAGACCGGATACAGGGAATGCGGGGTCCGGGAGACCGGATACAGGGAATGCGGGGTCCCGGGAGACCGGATACAGGGAATGCGGGGTCCGGGGAGACCGGATACAGGGAATGCGGGGGGTCCTGAGAGACCGGATATAGGGAATGCGGGGTCCGGGGAGACCGGATATAGGGAATGCGGGGTCCGAGGAGACCGGATATAGGGAATGCGGGGTCCGAGGAGACCGGATATAGGGAATGCGGGGTCCGGGAGACCGGATATAGGGAATGCGGGGTCCGGGGAGACCGGATACAGTGAATGCGGGGTCCGGGGAGACCGGATACAGGGAATGCGGGGTCCTGGGGAGAGCGGATATAGGGAATGCGGGGTCCGAGGAGACCGGATATAGGGAATGCGGGGGTCCGGGGAGACCGGATACAGTGAATGCGGGGTCTGTGGAGACCGGATACAGTGAATGCGGGGTCTGTGGAGACCGGATACAGTGAATGCGGGGTCTGTGGAGACCGGATACAGTGAATGCGGGGTCTGTGGAGACCGGATACAGTGAATGCGGGGTCTGTGGAGACCGGATACAGTGAATGCGGGGTCCGGGGAGACCGGATACAGTGAATGCGGGGTCCGGGGAGACCGGATACAGTGAATGCGGGGTCCGGGGAGACCGGATACAGTGAATGCGGGGTCCGGGGAGACCGGATACAGGGAATGCGGGGTCCGGGGAGACCGGATACAGGGAATGCGGGGTCCGGGGAGACCGGATACAGGGAATGCGGGGTCCGGGGAGACCGGATACAGGGAATGCGGGGTCCGGGGAGACCGGATACAGGGAATGCGGGGTCCGGGGAGACCGGATACAGGGAATGCGGGGTCCGGGGAGACCGGATACAGGGAATGCGGGGTCCGGGGAGACCGGATACAGGGAATGCGGGGTCCGGGGAGACCGGATACAGGGAATGCGGGGTCCTGAGAGACCGGATACAGGGAATGCGGGGTCCGGGGAGACCGGATATAGGGAATGCGGGGTCCGAGGAGACCGGATATAGGGAATGCGGGGTCCGAGGAGACCGGATACAGTGAATGCGGGGTCCGGGGAGACCGGATACAGTGAATGCGGGGGTCTGGGGAGACCGGATATAGTGAATGCAGGGTCCGGTAGTAACACTTTGAATCCAAAAGGGGGCAAATAAGGCATGAATGCGGGGTCCGGGGGAGACAGGATACAGTGAATGCGGGGTCCGGGGAGACCGGATACAGGGAATGCGGGGTCCGGGGAGACCGGATACAGGGAATGCGGGGTCCTGAGAGACCGGATACAGGGAATGCGGGGTCCGGGGGAGACCGGATATAGGGAATGCGGGGTCCGAGGAGACCGGATATAGGGAATGCGGGGTCCGAGGAGACCGGATATAGGGAATGCGGGGTCTGAGGAGACCGGATACAGTGAATGCGGGGTCTGGGGAGACTGGAT